AAAAAAAAACCCAAAAAAAAAAAACCTTTCTGTCTTTCTTCTGCTCAAATCTGTGTCTGGCCTTAAATGCCTTTAAGAAAGTGATAGAATCATCTGTCTCGCCTGTCTGCCTCTCACAATTACATGTTGTTTTCAGGGTGACGACATCCTAGACAGGAGCTCGGAGCTGATTTACACTGGGGAGATGGCCTGGATCTACCAGCCCTATGGCCGCAACCAGCAGCGGGTCTTCTTCCTGTTTGACCACCAAATGGTCCTCTGCAAGAAGGTAACCTCACCCCTTCTTCCCTAAGGAAAATGGACATTTTACTAGACATTAGCTCCTACCTCTCCATCATCCTCAGGCTTCCAGTGAAGAAAGGAAAAAATCAATTAGGGGAAAAACAGCTTAGCAGGTTTTCCATATCAGTATCACTGGTACTGACTGACTACCACAGGGTAGGTCTACCTTTTTTGCAGTGAAACTTAAGTTGATATATTTTGTCTTTGTTTCTTTCTTACACTTTGCCATGTTGCCTTTCATTAATGTTCCTTCTAACTCCCACCCAGAGCTTATACCAAGTTGACTTCCACCAGTTGTATAAAATAGTGAAATATTTCTATCCAACTTGGATAGCACCTCCTGAGCACTTCCCCTCATTTTTTTTCTAATGTCTCTGCCACCTGGTCCTTTACTACCCTAGGAACCAACAATGACCCTTCTACTTTTGTTCGTACCTTTGTAGTACAGGACTATCCACTATGCCCCCTACCCATTTCTTATACTATATATGTCAATTCCCTACAACAGCTAACTGTGCTCTACTCCACCCTTTCTTTCCAGAAATTCATTTGAGGACACATCTTGCTCTTGTCAATGACCCCTGGCTGACATAGTATGCATGTTGGTTTCTCAGTTTCTCCTCCTTGGCAGGAAATCTGATCCTTCACTATTGTATGCTTTTTTCCCACAGCTACTCTTTCAGGATAGGGAGTTCACACCAGTTTTAATACCAGGGATAGACTGAAAAGAATTTAGGATCAAGGGAAATATGAGAAGCAGGAAAAACTAACGAATGCTAGAGTGACTTTCAAAATTCACCCCCTATCCTTAGATCTTTCACCATTATCCAGTACCATTTTCCTCATTCAGTAGATAATACCTATGAAGGAGAATTCTGATAACACAACACAATTAACAGTCTTTATTTCCAAGTATAACATAAATCACAGATATTTTATCCCCATTTTTCTCTGTGCACCATGTCTTGTTATTAAATCTTTGTCTATTTGTCTTTGATAGTAAACTGAGGGAGAACATTGAACTTTGGGTCAAGCTGCCTCACTGTTTGGGTATAAGCTTTGAATGTCAGCTTTGGAACCAATAGCTAGATAGTAAATGAAGATTGTTTAGACTGGAACTGATCCTGAAAGAGAAATGTATATATATATTTTTAATTCTCAAACTTGACCAAATACTCAAGTCTCTTGTTAACTCCCCCTACTTTTCCTAGAACATCAGGACTTTGAGAGTTAAAAGGAAACCAATGATTTTCTTAGCCTATCATCTATGTCACCAATAGGTATGTGCCCATTTTTGTCACTGTGGTATGTTTACTCTTATAAGAGCTGGGTCATAGACATAGAAAAGCAATTAAGAAACTGGTTTATTTTACATTCACTTAGATTCTGTTAATTTGGATTTTTCACTATTTTTGATACTAAATGAACTATGAAATTTAGCTTTGGGAGGCGGAAGCAATAGAAATAGAATCAAGAGCCAGGACACATAATAATGAGGTGAAGAGTAAGAATAAAAGGATAAAACAATATGAATGGTGGGGTAGTTTAGGAGCCAAGAGGCCTGAAAAAACTAAAATGGAATGATGAATAAGCTCTAGACCAACTGGTAGGACCTGTTGATTAAGGATAAAGCAGAAGTAAAGAGGAAGCAGTGAACAATGATAAGAAAATAAGAGAAACCTTGAAAAACACATAGTTTCCCTCAAATTGCAGCCTTCTTGTTCTATCAAATACCACAAGCTTCTTCAAGAGCAATGTTCTGAGGTAAACATGACCACTTACTCCACATACCTGGTTTCCTAAATTGAGTGATACCAGAATGCCAGCCAGTGTCTATTATTTTGGCCAATAAAGGTAAACAGTATGAGGAAAAGAAAAGTAGTTTAATTTGTCAACAATCTGAGAACAAAAGAGTAGTGTCTGAAAGACCATCATACTGCTTTTCAGCAGAACTCAGGGGTGTTTATCTAGATTTACATGGCAGTAGAATGATAAATGTACAAAGACCAGTTTGTCTATCCTTAAAAAACTACTGTCTAGGCGAGAAAATAACAAAAATAATGAACAACCATATACCAGAGACATTTTGTGGGGGTGGAGTGGGGAATGGGATCAAAAATGGGGGGGGAGGGCAATGCACGGGACTATGGTGGTGGCACACAGGTGATTTGGTGATGGGAAACCTGCAGGTATTACAATCGAGATGGAAAAAAAAATGTGCAAAATGATGTAAAAATAAACTTTTGTAATAAAAAAAGAAAAAAAAAACTACATCTAGTGATTCTGTTTAATGCCAGCTTGTTTTCAACATCATCTGGTGGTCAGAAATTCTGATGTTATCTTTGTAGGAAAGCTCTTTTCCCTCATAGTGTAAACATTCAGGGTTTACTAAGCCTAAAATTAAACTAAAAGAAATGGGAAGAGATCTAGCAAGATGATGGCAGAGTAAAGAGGCCAAAATCACTATGTCCAAGCTCACACAGGAATATAAGACTAAAAATGGGCGTAGACTTACATACTACAAGTTTCAAAACAAATGAGAGCACCCTGGACTCAATAGAAATAAGATAATTGAGGGAGACTTGAAAACTGGGGGGACTCCGATAGGGAAGCTTGGATCTAGGAGCGCCCAGGAGCCTAGGCGCTAGGAAGTACCTCAGATTGGAGGCTTGTTGCTCTTAAGCCCTGCTAAAGCCCTGGAGGTAGAGAGACAACTCATCTCAAAGAGAGAAATTCAATGGAGAAAGTCAGCCCATCCAGGTACTTCTTGCAGGTACCTTCCAGAGACTAGTACTCAATGTGTTAATGGAAGAACTTGAACACCACAAGAGAGCCCTGACAGTTACTGGCTGAGACGACAAATACAATTCCACATAGTGGGGGCTGGAAAAACAGGAGATATTGAAACAAAGCACAGCTTAGAAAATCCTTTACAATTGAAGTATCTGGAAGTCTCTTGGTTATTCCAGAAAGAGCATACAGAAAGAATACCTGCCAATAATAGCAACACTATGTCTCAACGAATAGAAAGTATTAGAAGATCCAAGACAATGAAAAGAAGACTAACAAATACCCAAGCAAATCCAAAGGGGAAAAATCACAAAAAAAAAAAAAAAAAAATCAGTCACCAGAAATCACCAAGAAATAGAATTGCTCAGCCTACCATATAGAGAATTCAAAATCATCATGATAAACAATCAAAAAGAAGATGAGAAGGTAAAAAAATGATATGCAGCAAGCTATCAAGGAATTGAAGAATGCAAGCAAGTAAATGAAAGAAATGAATGAAAGACATGAAAAGAAAAAAATGATACAAGGCAAACTATGAAGGAATTGAAAAATACAAATAAGGAAATAAATGAAAGAAATGAAAAATGAAAGATATAAGGCAATGAATGAAAGGAAAAGGAAAAAATATGAGACAAGCAATCAATGAATTGAAGAAAGAAAATGAGACCTTAGAAAAAGAAGTAGGGCCCTCCACGGAGGCGCAGCATGTTAAAACACAGCACTAAGAAGTTAAAGCCACTCCAATATGAGTTCAATCACCCACTCCAGAGGTGACCCACATAGGGTGGCAGACCTCTCCTGACCCATCCACTGCTCTCCTCACCAGTGTACTTCATCTGTTAGCCTGTTTTGCTTAGCATTCTGTCTCTGGTGTACCCTCTCACCACTCCTGCTCCTCTGGCTTGTACCCCAGTTCTGTATGCATAAATAAATAAATCTTTTTAAAAAAAGGAAATAGAAGAAATGCGGGCAATGAAAAGGGCACTAGAGGAGATAAAGAATGCTGCAAAAAGTCATGAAAACAGAATAGATGAAATGGAAGAACGAATCAGCACCCTCAAGGACACAGAAATAAAAAGAATTAAAACAGAAAAAAAGAGAAATAAAAAGGAAAATGAATGAAGAAACACTTCAAGAGCTATCTGATACCAAAAGGAAAGGAAACAGCAGAGTTATAGCAGAGTTATCCCAGAAGGTGAAGAGAAAGACTAAGGAATAGGTAAAGGAGATGAAAGTAGATATCAAAGAAGCAAGAAGAACACCAAATTACCAAGACAATAGGAGAAATACAGCAAGACATATCATAGTAAAATTAACAAGAATACAAGATGAGGAAAAGATAATGAGAATGACAAGAGGAAAGAAACAAATAACCTATAAAGGGAAACCAACAAGGCTGATATAAGACTTTCTGAAGAAACACTATGCGCAAGAAGAGAGTAGAGGGACATACTCAACAAACTCCAAAGCACTAAATGCCAACCAAAAATACTCTGATGTGAAGCTATCCTTCCTCTACAAAGAAAGAATAAGGACATTTTCAGACAAACAGGAACTTCACAATTTTGTTATGACTAAACCCCCACTCCAAAAAAATAATACAAAAATGTCTCAAACCAAATCCAACAGAAGAATGAACAAGAATAGTTCAAAACAAGAAATAAAAACAACAAAGGACCAAAAAGAAAAGGCAAATATAGGTGCTGGTATATCAATATTATGTCTAAATGTAAATGGCTTAAACTCATCAATAAAAAGACACAGAGTTGCAGAATGGAATAAAAAATCAGAACCCAACGGCTGCTGTCTACAGGAAACACATCTAACTACAAAAGATAAAAACAGATTGAAAATAAAAGGATGGAAAACAATCCTACAAGCATATTGACCAAAAAAAGAATGCAGGGCTAACTATACTTATATCAGACAAAATAGACTTCAACCTAAAAAAGGTTAAAAGAGACTCAGAAGGTCACTACATTATGATTATTGGGACAATACAACAAGACCTAACCCTCATCAACATATACAAACCAAATGAAGGAGCACCAAAATATATTAGGAAACTACTGTCATCTATGAACACGTATATAGAGAAAATATATACATAGTAGAGGACTTCAATATGACACTCTCAACAATGGACAGATCAACAAAACAAAAAATAGACAATAAGCTCTGAACAAAGACTTGGAC